CAGGCGGGGCTGGAGGCGGCCCCACGGCTGCCCCGGTCCCGCTGCTCGCCCCGGGTACCGCCACAGTCCGAACCCGGTGGGCCTGATGCGGAACCGCCGGCTGGAAGTGCCACCTGCTCCGTGCCAAGTGTATTACACCGAGCTCGGGACACCGGAGCTGCTAAGTGTTAAATTAAACCATATCCTTTCCTCTGCCCCTTTTGGTCATCCTCGGAGCCCGAAGGAGGGGTGCTGCCTGAGCCCGTGTGCCCCATGGCTCTCTGTGGTTGGCAGCTGCTGGGCGAGCGTGGCCCAGCATCCCCTGTCAGCGGGTGTTTTGTCCAAGGGTTGATCTGCTTTGGTCCCTGCAGAACAGGGAGGCTGGAACTGAGCGATCTCTGAGGTCCCTTCCAACCCGAGCCGTGGAGCACCAGGACGGAGATATTCCCAGAAGTACCTCAGTGCGTGTCCTTGCCTGGGTGTGAAAAGACAGCCTTGGTCTCGAGCCAGGGCACTGGCAGGAGTTAATCAGTAAGGCACAAATACGTCAGGCAAAGCGGTCTGATGTCGGTCATTGATCGACATGGAGCTGACCCCTGTTGTGCCGTACATAGACAAACAGGCAAGTCAGGATCTGTGATTTCAGTTCATTGCTCTTTGAACATAGGTTAACATCAGTGTAGTCAGTAAGCATCAGAAGAAGCAGCAGCTATGTGTGATGTAACAATGAGAAGATTCACAACCCAAGGGAACTTCTGCCTTGACTAAGTCCAGGCTTAAGAAGCAGACTTGCTTCCTTATGATGCATAGAGAAGCCAAAAATAAGGGAATAGCAACCTCACACCTGTTTAAAACACTTCATGTACACAAAAGTCTCTGGTCATCTTAGACTGGAAGAAACACAAACAAAATCAGTTTGCGTGTACCAGCCAAGAGTTTAAAACAATGTGTGAAGTAGCAGCAGTGCTGAGTACAAAGGTGTCCAGAATACTGTGGACAAAACCCATGCTCCACATGTCCTTCCTTTGGCGCTCTTACAAACTCTGGATTTTAGCACCACAAATAACTTGAAGTGACAGCTCCCGTTGCTGAGAGGAAGAAGTTGTCAGGGCTATGCCCAGCCTTCAAGAAAGTGTGTTATAGTGGGTAGGAATGAACAGGTCAGTTTCCATCGGACTTGTTTAATTTGTTTTCCAAGAGTCTGTGGATACACAAATATAAGCCCTGATGTGAACCCAGAGATAGCTGCAGAACAGACACTGCACCAGTATCGTCAACTTCTTATCAACGTAATTTTTCCCACTCTACAAACATTGTGCTGTTCCAGAACAGTTTTAGGAGAGTTTATGTAAGCACAAGAGTAAGGTCACCTGGATTTTGCTTGTCTTCTGTAGTGCTTTAAGCTTGGTTCTCATTGGTGTGTCCTGTGACATGGTTCAGGAACCAAGTCTTATAGATCAGTCTGCTCCTGTCTTCAGAACTGAAGTTAATAAATACCTTACAAATGCAGTTCAGAGTCCTGATCAACCACTTAAATAGCCTACTTCTCAATCTGAAGCTTAACAGCACTGAAGAATTGTGATTAAGGTTGTGTAACTATAGTACAGCAATACCCAGATGTGCTTGACTCCATAAACAGGTCAGAGCTTTTCCCAGGCCTCTACATGCAGAGGGCAAAAGAAGTTTTGCATTTCCTCTTTCCCACCTCAAAACCACTTTGCTTCAGTAAATATGCATGGAGCACAAGGCAAAGTATTTGTAGTGCCACCTAGCAAAATTTGTGGCTGCCACTTCCATTAATTTCTTCTCAAAATCCTGAGAAATTCTAGCAGTAGAAATTGCAGTAATAAAGCAGCCTCACTTCGCAGTTAAGCAGTGAATGGGCAGGGAATTCCACAAAAAAGACTGCATGTGCAGCAGCTGGTACATGCTAAAGAGGCCATTTGGTGTGAAAAATAACATGGAAGAGTCAATGTTTGTGAGTCGTTTGGGGTTTTTTTAAAACAGCTTTGGAAGGAGCACAAAACATGGAGCAAAGCAAGGCCGCTTTCTCTTCTGTCAGACCATTTTCTGCACAGAAGCACTCACTGTAGTGGCATTACATTTACAGGGGAGATGAATAGTAGGATATTTCCTCCTGTCATCCAACACCATTGAACGCTATTTCACCATTCAGTCACATTTGCAAGGCCTTTAGTTATTGTTTTTACTTGCCTATGGGCTCTTTCCACCTGATTCCCCAGATATAAAACAGAAACAGTCATGCCTCACATTTGTCCAACACACTGAAATTTGTGTATGAACATGCAAAGACAGATGATTTTTTTGAAAACAAGTTGTGTGGCTTGTGAAAAATAAACCAAGCAAGCGTTATTTTTTAAATTTTGTTTCATTTATTTGGCAGTAATATCCAAAACCCCCTGCTTCAAAAAAAATATTACAAAATCAAGTAAAATAAGTGCACTAAGGAAACCTACAGAATACTGATAAATTTCACACACGTACAGGAGGGAATATAAAGGGAGGAGTGGGACATTTTTCTTTGTTGCTTAAATTTGTTTTTTTGGGAAAAACAAAACAAAACAAAACACCTTCCCTGCCCCTTGTAGTCTGTACAGCAATCATCCCAGAGGGCAATGGCTGAAATTCAGCCCTTCCTTCCCCAGCAGCCAGGCCACCCTGCAGGAGTTACTGACTGACCAGCCTACAGAAGCCTGAGCATTGCTCAGTGTGGGCTGCCCTTCCCCTCTGTGCAGGGAGCCGAGATATTTTGGTCCCCTTTGAGAACTGCTGCCCTTAGAAAGGGCCCTGCCTTCCACCGGGTCCCTTAGTGGGAGCACAAGGAGAAGAGGCTCCGCAGGCAGCAGCCCTGTCCAGAGGCACTGTTGCTGCACTCCCAGCCTGCTGCCTGAGGCTACCCTGGGATCTGTTGTATGGCTTCTCGGAGAGCTCAGCTTGCCGGAGACCGCAGCCCGTCCCTCCGCCTTCAGTGCAAGAGCAAGCTCTGTAAACCTCAGCTGCCAGCACGCGTCTCTGGCTGCCCCAGCAGCCACCCCATCCACACGGCTGCACAGCCTCAGCAGGCAGGAGAGGACAGAGAACACATCACAGTGCAGCCTACAGAAGCCCTGAAGCTGTGCATTTGCCTCCCATTCCTGCACGTGCTCTGGTTTCCACAATTGGAGATATTCCTGACTGAACAAGATGTTATCCCCACCCAGGGAAAGCCTTTAAGGCAAGCTGTTGTGTTTTCTCTAAGGCACTTTAATAATCCAAGCTGTAAGGATTGATCACTATCTGGGAGGCACTAACTACCTTTTAGAGCAGGGCTGGAATAAAGCAAAACCTTTATTAACAATGTTCCTGTGACTCCAGATCCAGCACATGAAGCCCTTTCTCTCATACTCTTGGGAAGGAGCAAGCCTGTATCTAATGGGTTCTCCTATTTCACCAACCACTTCTTCCAGTGCCACCAGAACACAGACAATGACTCTGTCCCAGTGTAGCATTGTCCACATTAGTCTCAGCTCCTGTGGACTCATTCCTCTCACCTTCACAGGTGACAGCTGCTCAAATCCAGGCCCTCATGAGAAAAAACTGCCCAGTCTCCTTCTGTATTTATGATGCCAAAAGCTCCATGGCAGGGTACACTATAGTTGTCACTGGAAAAGTGGCACTATGCCAAAGTCAATGGAAATCCTCTGGCTTCACATCAGGAAAACAGCTCAAAGACTAAACAGCCTCTCACACATCTGGCTCATGGGGAAGAGCACAGGAGGGACCAAGCTTTCTTCTTTTCCTATACTTCTAGGTACCAGCTCATTCCTCTTCTGCAGGGAAAGCACTGTGCAAAAAGGGGAAGGTTGGGACAAAAGTACTGCTGATCTTCACTCAAACTGGACACACTTTTGCAGATGCAAGTGGAATTTTGCTTGAGTAAGCAATAGGGACTGCAAGATACACAGCAACAACTGCTAAAGTTGCTCACAAACAGAAAGATGGAAGTCACAAGCAGTCAATCAGGGCACATGCAACTGCTTGGGAAGCACAGCACAGGCATGAAGGGAACATGGATATTCAGGGGTACATGAAGTACATTTGACAACTGCATGAGAAAATCAGCTGGGCTTCAGGCTACAGAGGTGACTATCAAAAAAACAGCATTTCATTTATATCTAGGACCAGTGCTCTGAGAAATGTGTGGGATGAAACTGGCCCATGAAGGAATGTGAGAGTGGTCAAAGGTGGTCTGATCAATGACACTGAGGAATGTGTCAGTAATGAGGCTTCCAGCCTTGGCTCCAAATTCAGACCTGGAATCAAAGAATAATGCTGCTGCCTCACCCCAGAGGAAGATGAAAAGCCCAAGATGATGCCAACAGCTACAACAACTAAACAGTTTTCTACATAGTTAAGCTTTTTAAGATAATGTACTAATAGGATTGCCTGGTCCCTCTGTCTCTAGACAGCTTTGAGCAATTTAGAGAGACACGAGCACAGACTTTGAGCACATGGTCAATGCTAGCTAAGGGAGCGAGAGCTAGAGAGCTGCAGTGGCAATCTGTGTCTGGTGAAACTAATTACATCCAGCCCTGTCTCTTCTTCCCACGAGGGACACTGCTATCCCCAGCTGGGAAATACCCTGTAGTGCAAGGCTCACAATTCGCCTGTGGTGTTTGTGGCGGCTGAGTGCAGTGCGATACAAACTGTGCATGGGCATTACAGCACTGTCAACAACAAAAACCCACGCGCTGGGTTTTTTTGAAATATCTAGAGCTACAAAACATACAAAAGCTGAATCACTACCATAGGAAATAAAATAATAAAAAACCCAAAACAAAAAAAAAAAAAAA